GGTCTCCTTGCCCCACACCCTCTTCATCTCTTGCCCCGCCCCCTTTGCCTCCTCCCGGCAAGTCCAGTCTTTTGGCCGTGTTTGGTCTACCACTTTCCCTGTCTGGATCCTTCCAGATGCCTCCAGCTGTACTCTCCCTCGTATTTAGAATAGAAACCGTCCCCTCAACCATACCTCGGAACGGTCATGTCCTCACTTTATACAAAGGGCACCTGGCCTGAGATCCACAGTCATTCCTCTCTGCCTCTTAGTTCTGCACTCCACCTTCTTTCCTGCCCTGGAATCTCCATCAGTTATGCCCTTACTTTCCATACATTTCTTTCTCTCTTCTTCTATGGGGTTTCCTGTACCGTAAAGACTCTAATATCAACATCTGCCGGTATCTGCCCTCACTTTCCTCCCGATTTCTCCACGAACAGACGCCTTCCCCTCCAGGCATCTAGTCCCCTAGTTCTTTCACTGAAACTGTTCCTTTGAAGGCCACCAGGGTCACCTAAACTATCAAGCTGTTGTTCTTTTTTCTGAAGTCAACAAATCTACCCTTTACTCCTTCTCCCACAGCCTTCACGGTTCTATCCTGCTGTGCTTGTCTTCCCTTGGATTTAACAGGTGTTTGCTATTCATTCATTGCAATGGAGGTTGCTATAAAGCAAGGTTCTTCTTTTGGCTATTTCCTGTCTGGTGAGGCTATGGCATCGGTCGCCACATTATCGAGACATCCTTTCTCTCTAGAGCTAAGCGCCTCAAATAACAGATTATGACCCCTTTGGCTGCTGGACTTTAAGAACTAGTTGACAATGATGATGACACTTTTAGGAGTTTCTTTATACAAAGCACATTTTGTATGTTATTTAACTCAAGTGCCCAGACAAATGCCTTCTAATTTCACAAATACTGTAGCATGTGTACCAGGCTGTATGCTAGTGACATACAGCTATTAATGCACTGAGTCCTGAAGACATCCTGATGAGGACAGTATTGTGACAAAGTCCATTCACCAAGTCCAGAAACTGAGGAACAATGACATAAAAAACCCAGGGTCATACAGCTGGGTGGCACAGCTACAGTCTGAATCCAGGCAGTATATAGCTCCAGATGAGGTGTGGCACAGGTACTCAATAAATGGGAGGGGAAATGCTCAGCATGTTTTTCTGGCTCACAGTTCTCACCCAGGGCCTCTGCTCCTAATTAATTTCCTTCCAGCACTTTTGCGTGTCTGTGTTGCTTCCTCCATCACTTGGGGGGGGGATTGTTCTTAAAATTTGGATATTGAAATGTGTCAGCTGAATAAAATAATTGGATTTCCAGACCTTCAGCGCTTCTTGTGCAGTTTGTCTATCATTACAGGCTCACCCTGGTGCAGCCTTTGGCACACCACCCCTCTACAGACAGTCCTGGGGGCAGAGAGTCCTGGGATTTTGACAGTGCCTCCTGCAAAGGAGAAGCTTAAGTCATTCTTTTGTCAGACTGATTTCTATGTATTGGTGTGTGTGTGTGTGTGTGTGTGTGTGTGTGTGTGTGTATGCCACATGTGTACAGATACCTAAAGAAACCAGAAGAGGGTTTGGATCCCCTGGATCTAGAGTTACAGGTGTTTAGAAGGCCCCCAACCTGGGTGCTGGGAACTGAACTCAGATCCCTTGGAAGAATATCAAATACTCTTAACCACTGCGTCATATCTCCAGCGTTCAGGCAGATTTTTCTTTAAAACATGTTTTAGGTACTTTTTCTGTAGACAATGAAACATGATCATGGTGGCTTGCTCACAATCTTACTGATGGTCCTTAAGTTATTCTATTACATTATTTTGCCCTCTGGGTTGGGTCCTTTCTGGAAACACACATATGTTTTCTTCTTGTGATTTCTAAATCACCCAGTACCTTCATGTTTGTCCCATTGACAATGAAAATTACGTAATACCATTCTTTCCTAATTTTCCTATTCTAAAAATATTTCTTTGGTAGGAGTCACCACATTGGTCATAGTTTGAAACAAACAAATAAACAAAAATCCCCAGAAACCAGATAAAGCAGAAATTTGGTGAATTCATCATCAGTTTTAAACTGAAAAATGATACTTAAGGCTACAACTATATAAAGATTATAATGATGCCATCAATGTTCTATTAATTTGCCTTGCACTATTATTTTAAGTTTTACAAACATTTGTAAGTTTGAGAATATTGTATTATTCTTTCAAACTTTCTACAAAATGTACTTTCTCTTAACATTTCTGTTAGCCATCAAGGCCTAGTGACAGTTAACCATTAGAAATTCATAATTATTTTTCATACAAATTATTATGTATTATTATCGTATCTAGAAAATTGGTTTATTTTCCTATGATAACTATATTTTCATGCGTCATTCTTTTTAGTTTTAGTTTTAGAAAGTACAGGGATTTTGAGTGCTGGGAAAACACTTTACTACTGACTTATACATCTAGCCCTTCTATTTTTTCTTTTGAGACAATATTTGGTAATTTGACCAGGCTAATGTCAAACGTGCTTCTAGCCCAAGGAAGCCTTGAATTGTGATCCTTTGACCTCATCCTCCTTTGTTTATTTAAGATTTATTTTTACTCATGTGTATGAGTGTGTCTGCCTGTGAGTATGTGCACGCGAATGTAAGTGCCCTCAAAGACCATTAGAGGGTGTTGGGCTCCATAGAACTAGAGTTATTATAGGTGTTTGTGAACCACCTGACGTGGATGCTGGAGACCAAACTGTAGTTCTCTGGGAGAGCAATAAGTTCTCTTCACCGTGGGCCATCTCTCTAACCCCTGGCCTCACATACTTAGTAGCCAGGCATATAGTCCTGTGCTACCAGCCCTGGTTCAAACTTCAGTTGACTGATAACTTAACACTACTCAAGTGAATTAGACTGATATTACAAGCTAATATTTATGGCAAAACTAAAATGTTTTTACTAAAATTAACCACTAAGCAAATTTATTCTTTTTTAAAGTGTTAGTATGTAAAGCAGGTAAAGAGATTTAAGAAAAAATCTAACTATACATAAAATATTCACCCATATTCAAAAGTGAATACTACGGTACTAATACGAAGTTTCATTGGGACTCCGTTTTTTTATTCCAAGGTATCATTTTGTGAAACTATATTAAACACACTCCTCTTCCCTTTATTTCTTTTTCATAAGGTCTTATGTAGGTCAGTCTGGTCTCAAAATTGTTATGTAATGATGTGATCTTGAACTTTGGGGGAGAGGGCTGCTTTTACTTCTCCAGTGCTGGTACTATTGTCATACGCAGCACACCTAGCTTATGTGGTGCCATGTTTTGAAGCCAAGGCCTTGCTCATTCCAGGAAAGCACTTCCACAATCATCCCCTATATCCTTATGACGAGGTTTTCTGTTTTCTAATATATTTATTTAGCAATGTTTCCCAAAAGGTAACTCTTTTTTTTTAAAAACGTAACCTGAAGGACCTGGTCCCGGAATCTCCCCAAGGTTGCTGTGCTCATCAGGTATGATTTTAACCTGTGCAATCCTGGGTCACTGAGGAATCCCAGGAAACTACAACAATGATACTGAAACAGACACTCCGCTGTTCTACAAACCAAGGCAGAAGCTGTTGCCAAATATGACACCCAATTGACTCAGAGGTCATTTTCCCTCCTGATTCATTCCTTACGTCTCCTTCACCTTGAATCCTTCGGATCCTTCACACGCAAGTGCGTTTTCTCTATTCTGAGTATGTAGCTCTCGTAGGCCTTGTATAAGAACTCACTCATCTGACTGCAGTCATCTCATTCCTTTCCAAAATCTCAGTGCAGTGTCTTGCATGGCCATTTACTTTAGTGTGTGTCCTTCTGCTAACTCCAGGCCAATAATAAAATACTTGAGGATATGCATGGGGGGATATTGTTTTCTTTAGATGCCAGATAGCTCTTAGTCTAGAGCACCCGGGGGATGTATAAATTACACACTGTGGCAGAATAAATGAATGACCCAATTCCATCTTGGTTCAGTATCCAAATGGGGAATAGTTGTTTCACACTGTGGGAAGGAAGTCTTTGTGCTGGAGAAATATTGCCAGTGGGTGCTCATGATTTAGCCTGGTGTAGACCTGAGTCACCACAGTCTACTTTGTGTGATCTATTACATGGGAATGCACAGGTCAGCTTTGTGGATGATGGCTTCATTTGTGCGTGAATTCTGTTTCAGAGACTTTTTGATCAAGAACTTGGACAGCTGGGGCATACTGGCATACTCCTTTAATCCTAGCACGTGGGAGGCAGAGGCAGGCAGATCTCTCTGAGTTTGCGGCCAGCATGGTTTATAGAGTGAGTTCCAGGACAGCCAAGGCTACACAGAAAGACCCTGTCTCAAAAAAGCAAAGAAAAGAAACAACCCCTAAAACCAGAAGATTAGGAAGCTCGGTTGGTAGAGTGCTTGCCCAGGATGCATGAAGCTCTGGGTTCAGTCTCAGCCTGCACAGTAGCACATGTCTGTAGTCCCAGCATTTAGGATGTAGAGGAAGGACGATGAGAAGTTCAAGGTGGTACTCTGCTACATAACAGACTTGAGCCAAATGTGAGGGACATGAGACTTTGTCTCAAATAAACAAATAAACAGAAATCAACAAAAGAGCACATTCATGGGTTTACATGTCCCCAGTAAATGATATACATCAAAGTGACAGAGCTAGAATTAGGACTTATACAGTCCTGCTCCAAAGCTCTAGATTTTAATTTTTGTTCTCTATAATATCCTCATAATTATGAACCAAAACAGAGCATCAGGCTGATATCATAGGTGGTACCATAGCACTCCTGTTAATGATTAAACACTCATTTTCTGGAATGTCAAAAACAACTCCTAGAGACAGAGTATGTATGGTCTCTAACGGAAGTCCTGGAACAATCCAGGTATCCTTAGTGACGTGCTTCTGGGAAGGGTAATAGGTGACTGTATTATGACCACCCAAAGCCGAGGAAAGAATATTCTTCCTAGTGGTGTTCTCTTACCCATGAGCCCAGTTGACCGTGTTCAATCAACACCCAAAACTAAATGGAAAATTCTACAGGTTATGACATGAATTGTATACTGCTGAGTAGAGTGATGAATTCTCACCTCATCCAATCTAAAGGTAAATTACCTCTTTGTTCAGTATCTCCATACTTTATACACAACCTTCTTGGCAATCAGTAGCCTTCTCATTAACCAATCAGTCTGTCACAATCTCAAAGCACGTGTTTGGGTAGTCCTTATTCTACTTAATGGTCCCAGAGCACAAAAACGATACTATGATACTGAAAATCTCGTTATGGCATCTTATAATTCTTCTACCTTATTGGTAGATATTCTTGCTAATATCTTACTAAATTTTGAAAATAAATTATACCATAGTAAAATAAAGAAAAACAAAAACACATAATAGGGTTTGGTAGTACCCATGGTTTCAGGTACCCACTGGGGGTCTTTGAATGTGCTCTAATAATTGTGCTGAAGACACAAGTCTGAGTTGGGATCACTGACATGTCCACATAGCCTAAAACCTCTACGGGGGAAAAACAATAAGCAACTTTAATAACTGGTGTGACTATTGTCTGAAAGAGTTTGAGGTTAATGCTAGGACAGTGCACTTAGGTATAGACATCTAATACAGTTAGTGATGCTGACTACATCTTGGGCAAGCACATGTAGGATAATGTAGGAGCTGTACATAAATACAAAAAGAGCAGGGGACAAAAGTGAGAGTTATTTTGTAACAATAGTTCTCAGAGCGAGACTCCGGTTACTGTGCTCTCTGTGGGTATGCCACAACTGGAATTCAAAACTGCATGGTTAGCAGAGGCTTGGGGTAGCAGGAAGGAACAACTCCAGGGTGGAAACAACTTCATGGTCTAGGAGCCAGGGTTGTCCCATGCTCTTATAAGCAGAATATAGGCATGTCTGCTTAGCTGGTTGGTTTTTCTGAGATTTTCAATGACAGGGACAAAACCTGGGATTGGTAAACTGGAGAAATTTAGAAAATCAACTGTGTGGAGTAGGATGATGTCGAGACAAGACCAAGCTACGTGGGGACAAAGCCACAGGGACATTTTGACTTGTGTGCTGTAAAAGTTATAAAAACACTTAAAGTTCTAGGGGGCGGGGTAGTTACCAGACAGAAGATAGTGATGGAAGTGTTACTTCTTGTGAAAATTGGGGAAGATTGGCAGCTGTTGACTGATATAATCATTTTTAAATGTTGAGGAGAAGGTGGGATTTCATGGTCCTTTTCTAGAGTAGATTTGACAGGAAGGAATTGGTTGCTGCTTTGGAGGGGGTATGCTAGTTAGTAAAGCTCGAAGAGGAACTGGGAAGCCAAAGCCTGGGCCCCCATCTCTGACCTTGTGATATCTCCATGATAGGACAGAACATCACCAGTTCTCACCGGTCCTTAAGCTAGCTAGTAGCGTGCTTAGGGAATGAGGAGAAAACAGTGTGAGCCAGGGTCTCTCCTCAGACGTTAGGAGGTTCTGAAACTGAGTGCAGGGGAGAAAGAAACATCAACAGCAGTCACTGAAACAGTGACGCCCACTCGATTCCAGGTTCCCAACCAATGAGAGACTCCCTTCACCCGGGAGGCCTAGCCATTACTTCTGAAATCCAGGTGGTAACTCTTGGACCACGTCCTCTGACTTCATGAGGTTTAGCCTACCTCAGTCCCAGGGGACACACGGGGTGGGACTGCTGCCTTGCTTTCTGAGGAGGCAGCTGCCAGTTAAGCATCAACCTTTTTGAGCTGGGAGGAGCAGTTTCTATAACTGCCCCACCCCAGAAACTCCATGCTGCTTCCTTAGGCCTCAGAGGCTTTGGCTGGTTCTCTCAGAGTCTGTGGTGACTTAGTGTGGTTCCCCCTAGTCTTCCTATAAAGGAGAGAAGGGACAGCTTTATTTCAAGTAACACCTACCAGTGAATCAATATCAACCAACTGTCCCACACCATCTGGCAGCACCCCTAGATATTTTTTGCAGCTGTTGAGGACACCCCAGCTCCCCTCAGTCCTGCTGGCCACTGTGCCCCAATCCCCTCATATCTTGAAGCTCAGAATCTGCAGAACTTGGTCCACGCAGCTGACCTCAGCAGTGAAATGCTGGCCCCTTGAGAAGACAGACTGTTGTGACTATGAGGCAGGCAGTGCCAGCAGACAAGATGTCATGGTGGCTTTACAACTTGTCACCAAGAGACAGAAGTTCAGTGGAAGAGAAAAGATTCACAGGCCTGATATAGGCCTGTGTGTCCTCACTACGAAACTGGGTCTGAGATCACTAAGTTGAATGAGAAAGGGGTTGTCACACTGAGAGCAGCCAACCTCTTGGCTCTCCGAAGTGACTCATGTAAAGGAACCCTATTGGTTTTCTTCTCTATGGTCTTTGCTTCCATGACGAGTCTGTGATTCCTTGAACTTAGTTGACTCAGCAAATATGTACAGAATGGCCACTCTGTTCTTACACAGCAGGACAGATCACTCTCATGTAGTTTAGACCTAGTGAGGGTAGACAGACGTAAACAAACTCGTAAGAATATAGCAGCGTGTGATGGGTGGCAAAATCCAGCGGGACTGTTGAAAGCCACTGCTAGGGCGGGCAGATTGGTGGATGGGACATCTGGGGACAGGCTAGGGCGGGCAGATTGGTGGATGGGACATCTGGGGACAGGCTAGGGCGGGCAGATTGGTGGATGGGACATCTGGGGACAGGCTAGGGTGGGCAGAATGGTGGATGGGACATCTGGGGACAGGCTAGGGCGGGCAGATTGGTGGATGGGACATCTGGGGACAGGCTCATTGAAGAAGTAACTGAAGAGTGAGCCAGTAGCTTGAATGGGAGGAGAAATGAGCCAGCCAGGTGGTGGCCAGGAGGAGGAGTCACCCAGGAAAAGCCCTGCCACTGGAAGGTGCTTAGTGGGTTTGAACACGCAGATGGTGAGGCCCTGTGTGTGTGTGTGTGGGGGGCGGTCAGCAATCGACACAGAGATGACTGGCAAGGCCCGATCGCCAGCCTGTCTGCTGGGAGGACAGCAAGTTCAAAATGCGCATACAGCCTTTTCTTCTCACTTTAAACATGAAGAAATAGAGTCTGGAGAGGTAGATGTTGCCATTATGTCCCCTGCCAGTGTTCACCGAAATCTTGCCAGCTACTAAAAGTAAGTTAACTGTCGAACGTCTTTAAATGTTTAAGCACTAGCTTTTAGAAGGTGCCACCCTCAGACTGTCTTTTCTACTTCCGTTCTGCCACTTGAAAACTACAGAGGCAAAATCAGTCTTGTAGATTTTTGTTTTCTCATGAGAATGGTGCTTTGAGCATTTGATTCTGGTTAAGTTTATTATTATTATTATTATTATTATTATTATTATTATTATTATTATTAAAGAAAACATTTCTTATCAGCATCTCAGTCCTGGAACCATAAACACCAAGAAGGCTTTTCACAGTCTGGGTCACAATTCTGCCTTCATGGCTTAAACATCAGGCTTGCATGGGACCTTGGAAATAGATACCCACAGATTGGCTTTGTGTATCTTCTCACTCTGTTCCAGGAAAGCAAGAGAGCACACACACACAGGTGTATGAGGTGAGGTGTTAAAGTAATCGGACATCACGGCACACTGGCCAGCATGCAGCTGGAGATACCGGACTGAGTGGATCTATATCCTATTTAGCTCTCCAGCTAGGAAACTGTTTGATCTTCTTGTAAAAATGTGGTGGCAATAATATCACCTTCCTAAGGAATTAAATTGATTTCTGCAAATGAATTTAAACCAATGCTTGTTATATAATAAACTCCATGGAAAGATTTTAAATATTTCCCAAAAGACCTATTAAAAACATGAGTTATCTTTTTTTTTGTCCACCCTAGTATAGACATTTAGACACCAGCTTTTCATTTTGTAGCACTGAATGGTTGGTTTGGCTATTTAAGTTACAGACTAAACACAAGCTCTTTATTCCGGATTAGGTCACATCCCCACTACAGGACATATGGTATGGCTTCTGCTATAGAAGGAGCCTGCATTCCACTGTGCACACACACATTCAGAATCAGAAATCTGCATTGAAAGTCATGTACACATAGGGTATTGTGTATACTCTTCTTGGTTTTTAAAACAGAAATGACTAATGGAGCAATAGCTGTCACATTCCTCTTTCCGTTGAAAGAAGGGCTTCATTGAAGAGGATTCACGGAAGGAGATGGATCTGGAAGAGCTGAGATCTTCAGGTGCAAAGGATTTGATGGAGCCAGACTCACAGCAAGAGACGCGCTGGTAAAATGGGGGCTTGAGATCATGGCCACGCCTCCGATCCTTGTTCAGGGTTTACTGCTCAGAACTCAACACCAGCAAGATGTAGTGGGAAGTGGGGCTTCATTCCCTGGCTTCTGGTTCTCCTAGACTTCATGCCACTCCCTTTAAGCTGTGCCGTAAGTCCGTTGATTGACTGGATGACCCTGACAGGCTTTCTGTTATCTTTATTTTCCTGTGCTCTGCCTCTTGAAGGAGAATTCTTGTGGCCAGCAGATTCCAAACAGACAGTGTGGCCACATAAGTCAGACAGTGCTCATCATCCACAAGGATTCTTCTGTGCCAATTTCCCCTGGACAGGTAGAAAGAATTCATGTTTACACGGTGCATGAAGGGAAGTTGAGCCTGGGCGTACCGCTCAGCCACCCTGAGGGATGAGGGATGAGGGGGCCAGGTTGGGCAGAAGTTCTGTCATCTTCTAAGGTAGTAAAGCCTGAGAGAAGGGAAAGCGAACACAGTGGACCTTCCTGACCTGGGCCTGGCTATACTGCCTGGCTCACATTACCTTGGTCAGCCCTTACATCTGACCATCCTGACCTGGGCCTGGCTATACTGCCTGGCTCACATTACCTTGGTCAGCCCTTACATCTGAGCTCATCTGACTATATGGAAGGGTAGGATCTGGGTTTGGCTGTGTGTCCCAGAGGAAAGGAAACATACTTAGTTTGCAATCAGCTCAGAGGATCTATAGACAAGGGTACTCTTCTGCTGATGAAAATGCTGATGCCACCATGGACTAGGCTGATGGTAAGAGCTGCCAAGCTGAGACTCTGTAAACACTCAGACCCAGGAAGTTGAAGAACAAAAATGTCTTATTTAGGGGGAGCACAGTGTGTGCCGAAAACAATGCTAGTCTACCTCGCCGGTCTGTTACAGAAAGTGAGTACCACTTAGGACTCTAACTGCTGGTCAGCCTTGGCCCTCCAAATCACAGAACACTCCCACTGTAGCGTGCACTCCAGAAATACAGCTTCCAACTCCCCAGCCTTTTAGTTTAGTTTTTTACTTCTCTCTGCTCTTTCCCACTTGGCTGCTTCCTGAAGACCAGGGGGTGAGGGGAGGGTTATTGCACGGTTCACTGCAAACACCTGCCTCTCACTTTTACCTCAGTGTTTGATTCAGATGTTTTCACTTCCTCCCCTCCTTCCATTTGGCCCTTTGGTCTCTGTCCCTCGATCTGACTTTCATCATCCAATTAGAAATAACACCATCTTCTTGCTACCATTTCTCTGGGAACCATAGGGAGTAAACCCTAAGCCTCTTGCATTCCCCACAGGGCCAGCAGCGCTTCAAAGGAGTGTGTTGGCGGCACCACCCCACGGTTGGACTTCCTTTCTGTTTGAACAGCTTCCATTGCTCACTGCCGATCAGTAACTCAATGATTCATTAAACACACAAACAATGAGCGAATCTGTTCCATTAGCGAGGCCACCTGTTGATCTCAGACATTCTCAGCTGAGCCCGGTGGGCACGAACAACAGAATGCCTGCATCACTCGAGTGCCCCGTCCGCATCTGATAGCATGTTGGAGCAGGAAAGCAGAGTCCAGGCTTTGTGACAGCTTTCAGGCTTTTCCTTTCATCTGGAGGCAGGGCTGAGACGCAAGACCTAGCGCAGAGAGCATGCTCAGGATCTCTGCAACTGAAAAACTCAAGGAGCTTGGCTGATGATGCCTTCTTAGTCTGACAGACAGGGGGTGGGGGATAGGAATATTCTGCACCCCTTTCTTGCTGTTGCAAAGGCAAGAGAATTAAGTTGTAAATGCATGAACACAGACACACACGTATACACACCTAAGCACACATTGTGGCAGTGGGTGGGGGTGTTACAGATGAGCAAAAGTGTAAAAGAAACCCTGTCAATTGCAATGTTGTCTTCTCTGTCCTTGAAATAGTGGCATCTCTTTGCTGTGTGGCCTCTAGTTCCTACATCTGCTACAGGTCTTCAAGCGTGGGTTTCCGGATGTTTGCATGGTTTCTGTACATTGGGGTTGCTAAAAGCCATTTAAGCTGGCTGAGGTAAGATTCTGAAGGTTGGTATCATGGCCAACAAAAGTAAATATTTTTAAGATAGCGCTTTCTTTCTGTTCTCTTACATGTCATGCCTCTTACTATTAGCATCAAGAGAGCCTTTCCAGACTTTCTGGACCCTGAAAGCTGTACTATACCAGGGATAACTAGTCATACAATCTTTCCCAAGCGAGTATTAAATTGTCTTTGTAGGGTGGATTTATCATAGTGCTTGAATGCCCACCAGGGTTTTACTACAGACTTCATCATTATCAAGCTTAAATTTCCCTAGAGTAAGAGACTATAACAAATATTGGATGATGGGTCTTTGAGGTAACTCAGTGATTAAAGGAAGTTGCCATCAAGCCCGAGGACCTGAGTTCAATTCTTGGGACACCCATGCTGGAAGAGGAGCAGGAACTCCTGGGGTTCACACACGTTGCTGTCTGACCTCCACACACACCTCATGGCAACACACAAATGAATGATACAAGAAATAACTGCAACTGATGATGTAGATCAGTTATAATTATATGATGGATGTATTTCACAGAGCAGTAAAAGGGCATGTTAGAAGAAAACAATATTTCAAGGAAAATCCCAGTTCCTGTTAATCTCCTAAAATGCATTTTAAGAATCCTGAGTTCTTGGTTCCTTGACAGAGAGTTAACTGTTCCTAAGGTTGGGGTTGGCTTTCCTCTCTGTGGTACCAGGCATGACAGAATGCCAAGTGGAACCAGTGTGTGCCTCTTTCAAGAGTACCGCTTTGCTCGGAGGCTGGGCTTTGAGGTTCATACATTCAGAATGGGCAGGGTAAACAGATGGAGGCAGGCCGACCTTCTTAGTTGGACATTCTGGGCAGGTGTGGGCAAATTTGCCCTCATCCAGTGCACAAAAGCCCACAGGCATTTTCAAAGGGATTTCCGCGAAGCTGGTCCTTTGACAACTACCGCTACGATTCAATCGCCAGATGCAGGAGGGCTGTTCAGTATTCCAGTTGTGCCAATCAAAGGCATCCTGTGTCTTTCAGCATATCAAAAGATGAATGGCACAAGAAATGACTTTTTTAAGACAGAGAAAGAAATAACCACATAAACGAACAAGGAATAAAAGGCTAGTGGCTACCTTTCCATTCATGTGATATGCTGGCACTAGCCACGAAACTGTTCAACGTGGAGCTCATGTTAGGATCTGCAGGGTCCAGTGTGGTAATCATTAGCCACATGTGGCCACTACACAGTGGCAATGTGGCTAGTGTGGCTGTGACTAGAAAATGCATTTTAGTTAAGTTTATTGAAATGCAAACAGGTTTTTATATTTAGTGGTCTTCACTGCAATATCCCTAGTACCTATTTGGATACCTACTTTCTTTTTATGTTATGTGTACTTGTGCACGTGTGTGTGTCTGTGTGTGTGTGTGTGTGTGTGTGTGTGTGTGTAGCCTAGAGGTAGACATGGGGATCCTCCTTTATTGAACTAACCACTCTCTTCTCTTGGTTCTCATTGTGCTTCAGCGCGAAGTTCAAAACAAGGGTGTCTTAGGGCAGACCCGTAGGTCTGTGGGCAAATGTTCAGAAGGAAATTTCAAGGGAGACCAGGAAAGCAGTGTGTAGGGACAGAGTGAAGGACAAGGGAGAAGCCAAGGAAGCCTGTGGTCATGGGCAAGGTGACACGGGAAGTTCATGGGCAAGGTGACACGGGAAGTTCTTTGTGCTCACTCTGCAGGCAAACTTATGAACTCAGAAAATCAAGTATCACAGTTGTCTCAGAATGAAAGAGTTGGGCACCCACTCACCATCAACAGTCTTTGGATAAGTGTCCCGAGAGTCTGAAGGAGACACTGGTCTTACCATTTCCAAGGACAATTAAGACTCCTGGAAAGGATTCAGACGTGTAGCAATGGCAGCAAGGATTGCTGATGGGGTGGGGCAGGAGTCACTGAATTTGTAGAAAGGACCCTGGCCATAACTCATGCATTAGCATTTGATAGTATTTAAGATGGTGAAAGTATTAGACTTGAGTCTACCTGGACCAACCTTTTCCTAAAAGTGGCTTTAGAATAGTTTTCCTCTGTGAAATGTAGAAAATATTTTTTAACTCAGATTGTAGGTAAACGTTAAATGGGATGCTGGATAAGAAGTAATTAGCACAGTATTAGATATCTAGTAAAAATTCAAAACATGTAGCTATTGCTTCATCACGTCATGTGATTATGTTCCATAACTTCTTCTCCATTAGCCTGCCCTGAGGTTCTCCAGGGCAGCAACATGCTCCATTTATCACTCCCCACCTTTTTAATTTAAATTAGAAACAAGCTTGTTTTACATGTCAATCCCAGTTCCCTCTCCCTCCCCTCCTCCCCTGCCCCCATGATCCCCTATCCTATCCTCTTTCTGCTCCCCAGGGAGGATAAGGCCTTCCAAGGGGATCTTCAAAGTCTGTCATATCATTTGGAGCAGGGCCTAGACCCTCCCCCGTGTGTCTAGGCTGAGAGAGTATCCCTCTATGTGGAGTGGGCTCCCAAAGTCCATTCCTGTACTAGAGATAAATACTGATCCACTACCAGAGGCCCCACAGATTAACCAGACCTCCAAACTGACACCCATGTTCGGGGGGGTCTGGAACAGTCCTATGCTGGTTTCCCAGCTATCAGTCTGGGGTCCATGAGCTTCCCCTTGTTCAGGTCAGCTGTTTCTGTGGGTTTCTCATCCTGGTCTTGATCCTTTTGCTCATCACTCCTCCCTCTCTACAACAGGGTTCTGGGAGTTTAGTTCAGTGTTTAGCTGTGGGTATTTGCTTCTGCTTCCATCAGCTAATGGATGAAGGCTCTAGGATGGCATATAAGGTAGTCATCAATCTCATTATCGGAGAAGGACATTTAAGGTAGCCTCTCTAATCTATTGCTTAGATTATTAGTTAGGGTCAACCTTGTAGATCTCTGGACATTTCCCTAGT